TGAATTTGCGAAATGGATAAATATAGAAGAATGAAGATGTTTGTAAACTGCTACAATTATGAGTGCAGAAATGGCTTATGACCTATTGTGTACCATAGCTACCTCATTTCCTGGATTCTGTTTCAGCCTCTCCCCCAGCTGATTCTTTGTCTTGCTTCATTTTTTCTTGTTGGATTGGAATTTGGTTTTCGAGAAAATAAAAATGGATCTTCAAGAAAACTGCTTTTATCATGCCTATATTTAACAAGGCTGGTAAGTTGGTTAGCCTTTTGCTGTCGAGCTTTCTACAGTAAACTTTTAATTTTATTTTTCTTCTTGCTAGGTTACTTTAAATGGTGCTGAAGATAGGCAATCACAATTGTTAAAAGACACACTTGAAAAAAGTGAAAGCAAATGGTACCTTCAAGCTGCATTATTTTACTCCAAAGAGAAAATATGATAATGCATTTTGTGACCTGACCTCCGTATGTGACTAAGTGGTATCGCGTAAATGTATGTGCATTACTATCGGAATTCATCCATTGGTAGCTTGCGAAGAAGATAATACTCTAACAGAACTAAAACATAAATTACAGTATTTACATGGTGTATTCCTGAAATATGGAGTGGTAAGTCAAAGTATTAATGCTAATAGTCCATATCCCCAAGAAGCTAAGGAATACCTAATAACGGATACCATTTTCATCTGCAAATCTGTTTCTCAATATCCACAAAATCTAAACATAGCCCGAGGGCTTTGATTTTGTAGTAAGAGCGCAACAAATGGTGTACGCCACGGGTTCGAATCTTGCCGAAGATAAAAGCTCAAATTTTAAGGGAAAAAGGGTAGAGGGACAAGCACATTATCTAATGAGGTTCGAGCCGTGCGCCACTGACCATCGAAAATTTCTTGTTTATAAAAGAAATTTAATTTACCTATATAACAACTACTACTTCTGGTATACCCTTCTTGGCTCTATCTCTCACCATTTTCGAACACCAGCAACAATAATCCACAATCTAAAACCTCCAAATGCACACAATTGCTTAGCTCTAATCTGGTTCTGATTATATCCAAATTAAGGAACAATTCGGAGTTGAAGTTGCCAGAATTGACAATTTTGTTGAAGTTGTGGGTGGTAAATTCTTGAGAAATCTCCTCAAAGCGCGTTGATTTTTGGGTTGGTGGAATCCATTAGGTCTTTGTATTTGAGCCGTATTTTCTAGGGTTTTGTTCATTTCACCGTGTGCTCAAGAGCCTCTCTATTTGGTCTTTTCTGATTGGTTGTCAGGCAACCTTCTCATAGTTTATCTTCTGTGTACTACTTGCACCATCACCACCAGCCATATTTTCGTTAACTTCAAGGGCTGCAATTCAGGTTCTATTGTTCCTCTCTTGTCTTGATATTTTAGCAAAATTGTATCTCCTTGCCTGCCTATCTTGTTCTTGAATCCTTAGTTAGTATTTGCCATAGCACTGCCAAATTAATTGCATTAGTGATAGCTTTGCCTACTTATTTATATTGTTAGCTACCTATTTACTTCTTTATTTTGAATCTTTATTTCATATATCCCCTAGTAGTTACTGTTCTAGTTTTGCACATTTTCTTTTTGACCTTTAGTTATAGATTATAGCCCACTTTAGCTCTTTTATTGTATTTCTTCACCTATTTTTCTGTTCTTTAGTTGTAGAATATAGTTTCATTTAGTTCCTTTATTTTATTTCTTCACATGTTTTTCTGACCTTTATTGTAGATTATAGTTCCCGTTAGTTCCTTTATTCTTTTTCTTCACCTATTTTGCGACCTTTAGTGGTAGATTATATTTAGGTAATTCATTTTATTTTTGTCGCTTAATTTCGGGATAGTGCTTGCGTAGTGACTCCTAGATTATAGTGGCTTTGGTGAACGATGGTAGGGTAAGGTCTTGTCCTCGGGGGTGTCAGCACGGGGGAGAGGGTGCAGGGATAAGAGGGCAAGAGAGCTACAAGGCTAAGAGTGGGGTCTTGGAACATAAGAATTTTGACTAGAAAATTTGTAGAGTTAGCGATGATTCTCGAGAAAAGAAAGATTAATATAGCTTGTGTACAAGAGACTAGTTGGGTAGGAGATAAGGCGCATGATATGGACAGGTTCAAACTATGGTATTTTGGGAGGGTGAGGGCAGGAATGGGGTATGTATCTTGGTTGATAATGACCTCCGTGAACTAGTGGTGGAGGTTAGGAGGGTGAATGACAGGCTGATGACTATTAAGGTAGTTGTTGGAGGTTTTAATTTGAACATAATCAGTGCGTACGCACCCCAAAAAGGCTTGGATGAGGAAGTCAATAAGCGCTTATGGGAGGATTTGGATGAGATGGTGCATGGTATCCCGCATACTGAGCATCTTTTCATAGGAGGATATTTCAATAGCTACATTGGAGCGACGTCTGTGGGCTATGATGATGTGCATGGTGGCTTTGATTTTGGAGATAGAAACGGAGGAGGAACGTCTCTGTTGGACTTTACTGGAGCATTTGATTTGGTGATAACAAACTCGAGTTTCCCGAAGAAGAGGGAGTACTTAGTCACCTTTCGGAGTTTGGTGACCGAGACGCAGATTAATTATTTACTCTGCAGGAAGTCCGATAGAGGTTTTTGCACGGATTGCAAGGTCATCCCGAGTGAGAACCTCTCGACCCTTCATAGGCTCCTGGTTATGGATCTTGAGATCACGAGGAAGAGGAGGAGAATGGCGATGTATAGCCAACATAGGATCAAGTGGGGAGCCTTGACGGAAGCTAAGGCGCAGGAGTTAAGGGTCAAGCTGTTGACTATGGGGGCATGAAGGAGTAGTGGGGACGCAAGCGCTATGTAGACCACGGCTGCGCAGTGCATTAGGGAAGCCGCAAGAGAGGTATTAGGGGTCTCAAAGGGTTATTCTGGTGGTCACAACGGAGACTGGTGGTGGAATGGAGATGTCCAAGAAAAAGTGAAAACCAAGAAAGCAGCTTATCTGAAGCTAGTGAAAAGTCTAGACGAGGAGGAGAAGATGGCGAATAGGGAGCATTATAAGTTGGCTAATAAAGAGGCAAAGCTAGCAGTTACGGCAGCCAAGACTACAACTTTTAGTCGTTTGTACGAGGAACTCAAGGGCCGAGGTGGGGAAAGAGGTTGTTCAGGTTCGCCAAGGCGCGAGAAAGGTAGGCGCGTGACTTGGACCAAGTGAAGTGCATCAAAGACGGAGAAGGTAAAGTTTTGTTGGATGAGGGGCATATCCGTCGGAGATGACAGACCTACTTCCATAGTCTCTCGAACGAGGAGGGGCACATGAACATTGTACTGGGTGATTTGGAACTCTTCGGGAGTCATTGTAACTTTGGGTATTGTAGACGGATTAGAGTTGATGAAGTTGAGGGGGCTATGCGTAAGATGAGCAGGGGAAAAGCAACCGGGCTGGATGAAATTCCGATGGAGTTTTGGAAGAGTGCGGGCAAGGAAGGCTTGGAGTGGATCACTAGGTTATTTAATGTCACTATTAGAACGAATAAGATACCCGAAGAGTGGAGGTGGAGAACGATGGTTCCTATATAAAAGAATAAGGGTGATATCCAAAATTGCAATAACTATCGGGGTATCAAGCTGTTTAGCCATACTATGAAAGTTTGGAGAGAGTGGTAGAGCAAAGGGTGAGGAAGAGTGTGTCTATTTTTGAAAACCAGTTCGGGTTTATGCCGGGGCGTTCAACTACAGAAACCATCCACCTTGTTAGAAGATTGATGGAGCAGTATATGGAGAGAAAGAAGGACTTGCATATGGTGTTCATCGACTTAGAAAAGGCGTACGATAAAGTTCCGAGAGAGGTTTTGTAGAGATGTTTGGATGCTAGAGGTGTACATGTTGCCTACGTTAGGTTGATTAAAGACATGTATAATGGAGCAAAGACCCGAGTGAGGACGGTGGGTGGGGACTCAGACCATTTTTCGGTTATGATGGGGTTGCATCAGGGTTCGGCACTTGGACCTTTTTTGTTTGCTCTGGCAATAGACGTATTGACGCGCCACATGCAAGGGGAGGTGTCGTGGTGCATGCTATTTGCAGATGATATTGTATTGATTGACGAGACGCGAGACAGTGTGAACGTGCAATTAGAGGTATGGAGGCAGACCCTGGAGTCTAAAGTTTTCAAGTTGAGCAGGATCAAGACATAATACTTGGAGTGTAAGTTCAGTAGCGAGACTCAAGTAGGGGAATGAGATGTGAGGTTGGACTCACAGGTCATCCCTAGGAGAGTAAGTTTTAAGTACCTTGGGTCTATTATTCAGGGGGATGGGGAGATTATGTCACACATCGTATTGGGGCGGGATGGATGAAATGGAGACTCGTTTATGGTGTTTTGTGTGACAAGAAGGTATCACCAAAACTTAAAGGTATGTTCTACAGAGTGGTGGTTAGGCTAACGATGTTATTTGGGGCTGAGTGTTGTCCAGTCAAGATCGCTCATGTCCAGAAGATGAATGTAGCAGAGATGAAGATGTTGAGATGGATGTGCAAGCACACTAGGTTAGATAGGATAAGAAATGAGGTTATTCGCGACAAGGTGGGTGTGACCCCTATTGAGGACAAGATGCTGGAAAAGCGGCTTAGGTGGTTTGGTAAACACAGACGCCCCGGTGAGGAGATGTGAGAGGTTGACATTGGAGGGCCTACAGAGAGGTAGAGGTAGGCCAAAGAAGAGGCCAGGAGAGGTGATTAGGCAAGACATGGCGCAACTTCAGTTGACCGAGGACATGACCCTTGATAAGAAGGTATGAAAGTCGAGGATTAGGGTAGTAGAGTAGGTACTCTAGAGTGTTCATAGCAGTAGTATTGACACACAGTTTCGCTTTCTGTTGGTAATATATTTTTATGAGTAACCGTTGTTTTCTTTCATTGTTGATCACTTTACTATCTTGTTGTTTTTATTCTACTTTTATATGGCTTTTTGGTACTCTCTTCTTGTTTATATTTTCATTAATGTGGTGCTCATGCTTTCCCGAGCCGAGGGTCTATTTGAAACAATCTCTCTATCCTCACAAGATAGGTTAAGGTACGTGTACACACTACCCTCTCCAGACCCTACGGTATGGGATAATAGTGGGTATGTTTTTGTTGTTGTTTTGCTTTTTCCTATTTAGGATGCATATATAAGTGGACAAGATTGTGCTGATAATGTTGAGAAAAGGCCCAAAATTGGAACTCTCAGATATAAAGAACCTTTGCTGACTAAAATGAATCAGAACTTGCCCTACTCTATATGAGTATTTCTCCTGATATTCAGTAGAGTTTTGAGACAAAGTCTACCCTTTCTACTACCATTGTATACATATTCTCTTCATTTTTGGTTTTCTTAGGCAAAATGTAACTGGATTCCTACTTCATGAAGTCAGCGCTCTAAAGATTGTGAGTATCTTGCATCTGGTTCAATATTTTACATAAGCACCTTATATTATGTTGTTGATGTTATAACAATTAGTATTTCTAACCAGAGGCGGATCTAGGATTCTGAAAAGACGGGTGCAACATTTCGGGATGAGAAAATCGAGTAAACTTCATGCGTGTGAAAACTGGGAAGTTTCATGGGAATTGATTGCTATAGTGATTTAAAGAATAAAAAGGAAAGTTACGTTAGTAGAAATAGAAAGAAAAGAAATATTTAAGAAAAAAATTAAACAAAACTTTTGGTTGGGGGATTTGATCCCTTGACCTTAGGTTGGTGGAAATAAGGCGCCAAAGCCAATGAACCACTTCACCTCTTTTGACCTTGGGTTCCATTAAATATGTATATGTAGTTTTGCCAAATTATGTACATCATATATATACTTTAACCCGAGTACCACGGGTTCACGTGAACCACATTTTATACCGTGGATTCGCCCCTGTTTCTAGCAGGTATCCTACTTGGTCACCTTGGAAAGTAATGTTGTGCAGAGAAATTTTCTCCATCAAAGAGGCAAAGAGATTATGTAGGGCATCTACCCCTGACAGAAAAGAAGACGGAAAGAAAGTCGATTAATACCTTAGCAATACCGCGAATATTGATGTTTGTATTTGTTATTGTTGAGAAGGAGTGAATAGAGATCCAACCAATTATTGGTGATGAATCCAGCTTTTCTCCGTTCTTTGGAGTAAGGGGGCGCGAGGGGAAGAGATGGGACCAAAAAAAGTGAATTCATTCGTGATAGTTGCAGTAGTAATCGTTTGATCTGACTAATAAAACTTTTTGATTTTAATCAATTGTTAAAATACTGCAACATAGTTATGTTTTGTTATTAGGTGGTAAAAGTGTAGATTTTATTCGATATTAATGTTGTTTTTTCTTGTTAACTTTTGACGTGTAGAAGTAATTGTAGTAGTAATCCTTTGATTTGACTAATACAACTTGTTCATTTTGATCAATTTTGAGTGCTACACTGAAACTGATTTCAGTTTAACCGCAAGTATTTGAACATTATAATTTTCCACCATTCATAGGATATATAGCACGGGCTCCTCACAACTCGTATAGGAATATATGAGACTATGTAGTCTAACAAAAAAAGATATCTGACTTATTCGCCTTTAAAATTTGACCTATTTGAAATTCTGATTTCAACTTAAAAGCCTAAATTTACTAAACTGTTTTCTCACCCAATTGACTTCCTCATAAATATCCTCTCAACGAATTCTCTTCTTTTTCATGAATGAGTTAAAGATGTAATTAGGAGTTCAAGATGTTGCCATAAACTTATAACTTTAAACGTACGCATATTTAAAGATTCGAGCTTTTCAATGAAACCAAAAGGTAAGTAAATACCAAGTGTCATCAGATAACTCTTATCATAGAATCCATATAATCAACATACCTGCACTCACATGGAGTGGTTTGATCGATTAAGGTAAATTCATCTTTCAACATTATAAACAATAATCTAATAGAAAATGACTGGTTTTAGCTGTTGTCTACGAGGGCACCACCAGATGTTGTAGATAAACCTACTAAAGAAAAAATTGAGTATATCATAGCTGACAGCATCAGTGGAATACAACTTAGTCAAGTAGAAAGGAACAACGAAAAAATTATTTTCAATTAATATAGCATATGGACGTAGGCCTTCGAGGTTAACCCTTGCTATCAAAATCATAGATACCTAAATGAAGCAGTAATGCCAATGCTTTAGGACGCTTCTATATAGTAGAAAGAAAAAGAAAAAGCAATATAGTATAGATATATATGGCATAAAAGTTAAATACAAGATTTGAACAGTCAAATGCCTCGTACGTTTAGGAAAATCATTTAAACTACATCTAGTTTCATTTAACTTATTGCACCAAGTTGTCTATCTTTCATTGACCACTCACTTCATATTTCAAATAAGTTCAGCTTCAAGAAGTTTCTGGCACCTTGTTCCCCTTTCTCTTTCCCCTTTTTTCTTTGGGGCACCAGCTGTTTTGTCTTTCTTCCACATAGCCTATAAGATAAACAAAACAATCCAGTATTAAAATAACTCACTTTAATTTCTTGATCAAAATTTTTAAAAATAAAAGGCTTAGATGTCTAACCTCGAGAGTTTTGACCTTTGTAAGAATATCCTCGGGCACCTCGTACTCCTGTCCCTTTCCCCTTCTTTTGTCTGCGCGAAGATTAAGTGTTTTAGATAAGAGTGAGTTTCTCTAGTGGTAAGTATTTTTCACTTTCAATCAAGAGCTTGTGAGTTCGAGTCATCCCAAGAGCAAGGTGGGGAGTTTTTGGAGGGAGGGAGCCGAGGGTCTATCGGAAACAGCCTCTCTACCCCAGGGTAGGGGTAAGATCTGCGTACACACTATCCTCCCCAAACCTCACTAGTGAGATTATACTGGGTTGTTATTGTTGTTGTCTCCGTTCCAGTTTATGTGAACCTATTTTCTTTTTAGTCCGTTCCAAAAAGAGTGACCTCTTTTTAAATTTGGAAATAATTTTGCTTAAACTTACAATTCTACCCTTAATGATAAGCTTTTATAACCACACAAATACTCTGGACCTCTTTTTGAATTGTTTAGAACCACAAATTACAAAAGTCTTTATTTTTTCTTAAACTCCGTGTCCAGTCAAACAGGTTCACATAAATTGAAACGGAGGGAGTATAAGATAACAAAGCAATCCGTTAAAATAGAATAAAACTCTTTTTTGATTAGAATTTTGAAGGGAAAAAAAGGCAGGGTGACTCAAGGGGAGGCCAATAAAGCCTTTACCTTAGGCCTCATAATTTTAAGACTCCAAAAAAATTATAATAGTAAATTTTATGATTTTGTACGCTTAAATAATATTAAAATTTGTAAAAAAAAAGAAAGAAAAAAAGTACGAAATCTCTATATGAGAGAGAAGGACTTGTCTTTTTTAGCAATAACTACGCTTCGATCAAAATAAAGTTGGGGGTTGTCTTCTTTTTAACAATAGAATTTTGAATTAAACTGCTCAAATCTTCATATTAGTAAAAAAAATAAAAAATTACAATAACATCCATAGTTGTATAGGAAAAAATACGACATGACACATGACCGCTTAAAGGAAGGACACGTAGAATACAAGATGGAGATGGCCACCGAACATAGCTATTCTGCTTGTCACCGGAAGGGATAAAGATCATAAAAGGAGTAGTAAATGCTTTGCGCCCGGTAACATTTAATACAGAATATTTTGCAGCATTAAGGATGATAGCATGCTACAAGGAATTTGGCATTTATGTCTAACGTTACATCTTCATCAATGACCCTCATAATTGACATTAAAGAAGGGCATGATCCTAGGACTTCTTTCCCTAGACATAACTGTAAATAAAGAGCTCAATTATCATTGTAAGGCATGAATTTTCTGGCTAACTAACATTATATTCTATACAGCATTTTAATACAAGTTTATTCTCTCGCTTTTGATCTCATCATTGTTGTGCCCGGAAACCTTCTTCCCGGATTCATTAGCTCTGTTGTTTCATCTATATTTTAAGGCTAAGTATTTTATATTTCATCAGTTATTTCATTACTTTTTGGATCAAATTAATTCACTTGTCTAGAAACCACGAACAAATTCAACAGTACCATTTTTTGGAAAAACAGTTTGGCACCCACCGTGGGGCCTAGACGGTCGTATAGTTAAATTAATCCTTGCCTTTTTTACTAATTTGTTTGATTATTTTGTCTTAGCAAAAATCACAAAAGAAATTGCACATAACACTGTTAACGGCACACATAACCCTAAAATTCAAGGGGAACAACCTCATTTCGAGGATTTAATCAGTGACACTCGCAATGAGGGGAACGTTGCCACATCGGAACGTGACAGGCGGTACCCTCGATAGGTTCGGGAGGCAACTCCTAATGATGCTGATGAGGGGTATGTGGCGGATGCAATAAGGGTCCTGCAAGAGCAACATGCAGTCATTCTAGGCCATCTCACGCAACAGGATCAGGTTATGACAGAACTGAAGCAGGCGCTATCGGGTGCCTCAAATAATGCAAACAGGCAAGATCCAGTTCCTCCTGATATCCCCGCAAATCAGACGACGAAGAGAGTTGATAATAACACTCCTAGGGGCGAAGTTGGCTCCGATGGGGCTGGGGGGAGTAGATCCGGCCTCAACAACGAGAAAGATCCATTCAAGGATGAACTCTTGCGGTTCATGAAGGAAGTAAACACCCGCATGGATCAAATCCCAAGCGCGCCACCAGTATTAAAAGGCCCAAACTTAAAGAAGTATATTCAGTTACCGTACAAGTCGAGTGCAGCCCCGGAATTGATCCCGAAGCGGTTCAAAATGCCCGAAGTGCCGAAGTATGACAGAACTTCAGATCCACAGGAGCACATTACCACCTACACAACAACGGTAAAAGGAAATGATTTAGCTCCTCACGAAATTGAGTCTATGTTGCTGAAAATATTTGGTGAGACTCTCACAAGGGGAGCTTTAACGTGGTATGTATTATTGCCCGAGCATTCCATAGATTCCTTTGAGATGCTCGCGGATTCTTCATCAAGGCTCATGTCGGTGCCAGGAAGGTATATGTCCGAAAGGCCGATATATTCAGGATCGTGCAGGGAGAATTCGAGTTATTACGAGAGTTTGTCACCCGGTTCCAAAAGGAAAGGATGTTTTTACCGGCAGTCCCGGATGAATCGGCAGCTAAAGCATTCACCAAAGGTTTAAATCCTAGAAGTTTGGACGCTTCCCAGAAGTTGAAGGAAAGTCTGCTCGAGTTCCAAGCGACGACTTGGGCAGATGTCCACAACCGGTGAGAGTCGAAAATAAGGATAAAAGATGATCAAGTTAGATTTCCATCGCCGACCAAAGGATGGAAGAAGAACAAAGAAAAAACGAAAGATGATATTAACACAGCTAGACGTACTTCGATGGGACGGTTTTTTCTCTACGAGCGGACAGAAGGTCGTGTCAGGAACTTCCGAACAACAGACAGGCTCACCGTTGATAGAAGGACCGATCGTGGCCGGAACTACAGATCGCTGCAGGATAGAGAAATCTCGGGGTCGCGAGATTCTTCTTACCCAAAGTTATCAGAATATAACTTCAATGTTAGTGTCGTAGAGTTGGTGTCATCCATGAGGAGTATTAAAGAGGCACGATTCCCAAGACCTATGAAATCTGATCCCAGCCGGAGGGACCCTAATTTATAGTGTGAATACCATCGCACTAACGGCCACCTGACTGGGGACTGCCGACACCTCCGGGAAGAAGTGGCAACGCTGTTAAAGAATGGTCACCTCAGAGAATTCTTGAGTAATCATGCTAAAAACAATTATGGTCGGAACAGGAGCGATACGGAAACCTCGAAAGCAGGAGAAGAACCTCCACAGCAAATGATCAACATGATCTTCGGAGGGAATAAAATTAACGGGGTCACCTTTACGGAAGCGAAGAAGACAAAAGTGTGGATAACTCATAGTAAGAGGCTCCGGGAGACGATATCACATTCACGGATGAAGATGTAGACGAATTACTACTCCCGCATAATGACGCACTGGTAATTTCTTTAAATGTGTTAGATTTTAAAATTAAACGTGTTTTAGTGGATCCAAGAAGTTTAGCTAATATCATATAATGGAGAGTACTGGAGCAAGCTCAACTCTCCGGAAGCATTATCCCGGCAACGAAACTCCTCGCCGGATTTAACCTCGCAAGCATGACAACCCGGGGAGAAATTTTGCTGCTCACGAACGCTGAGGGAGTAATGAAGACAACACTCTTCGAAGTGGTAGATGGAGACATGGGGTATAACATTATCTTGGAAAGACCATAGCTGCACGAGATGAAAGCCGTACCTTCAACATATCACCAATTGTTAACATTTCCGACACCTGAGGGGATCAAACAGATAAAGAGTGATCAACCAGCAGCAAGGGAGATGAATGAAATTTCGGTTTCCAGAAGCAAAGGAAAGGAATGTGCGTCATAGCAATTACTGGAACCGGCACCTGCCCCCGAACTAGAGGAAGATAACCCGGGGACAGAAGAGTCGGAACAATATCAGGTACCAAGATATTTTCAAGTAGTGGAAGAGACAGTTGCGACGAAGTCTACGGTAGAAGAACTAAAGCAGGTTGTGTTGTTCGGAGAATTCCTAGAAAGAAAATTTCAATTTGGGAACAGGATTACACCCTACTTTTAGTGAATTCCTTAAAAATAACACTGATTTTTTTGCATGGTCGCACGAGGAGAAATCCCGATGGAGATAGTCGTACACAAGTTAATCTTGGATCCCAACACACCTCCAGTAAGGCAGAAAAAGCTCACTACTGCCGAAGAAAGGAATAAATTCGTCAAAGAAGAGGTAACCCATTTACTTAAGATTGGTTCAATCTGAGAGGTAAGATATCCGGATTGGCTAGCAAATGTAGTAATAGTTCCTAAGAAAAATAATAAATTTTGCATGTGCGTAGATTATAAGGATCTTAATAAGGTGCGCGCGAAAGACTCATTCTCATTGCCAAATATTAATCAAATGATTGATGCCACGACCGGGAGCAAGTTAACGAGTTTCCTCGATGCTTATTCTGGGTACAATCAAATCAAGATGAACCAGAAGATCAAGAAAAGACTTCGTTTATAACAAATATTACAATGTGATGCCCTTCAAGCTAAAAAATGCCGGAGCCACTTATCAACGGCTCGTGAATAAGATGTTCAAAAAACAAATAGGAAAAACTATGGAAGTATATATAGACGATATGCTCGTTAGGTCTTTGAACGCAGGTGACCACCTGAAGCATTTGCAAGAAACATTCGACATCCTGAGGAAGCATAATATAAAGCTTAACCCCGAGAAGTGTGCTTTCGGGGTCAATTCGGGTAAGTTCCTAGGGTTCCTAGTCTCTCAAAGGGGAATTGAGGTAAATCCCGACAACATCAAGGCCATAGAGGACATCCCAGATCAATTGTCTAACGTAAAAGAAGTCCAAAGTCTCACAAGGAGATTGGAAGCTTTGAGCAGCTTCATTTCCCGTTCATCGAAACAATGTCATCGCTTCTTCGCACTACTCAAAAAGAAAAACAAATTCGAATGGACACCGGAGTGTCAGCAAGCCTTGAAGGAGTTGAAGAAATATTTGTCAAGCCCTCCGTTGCTCTCAAAACCAAAAGAAGAT